TGACACCTAGTTTGAATCTGCCGTCTGACCAGCGCCGTTCTGTGTGGAGTTTTGTGTGTTCTCTCCACGTACTCTGGCTTCTTCCCACTGTCCAATGACATGCAGTTAGTGGGGTTAGGTTAACTGGTGATTCTAAGTAGATAGGTCACATAGGTGTGAATGGTTTCACACAGAAGGGCGTCCCCTGCCTCTTGCCCTTCGGCAGCTGGTATAGGCTTCAGCTTCCCTGCATCCCTGAATTGGATGAGCAGAATAAAGTGGATGGCTAGACATCTTTCTCTGATCTGAATTTGTTCTGAATGAACACAATAACATATGTTTTAGTGCCGCAGATGCTTACAGGTCAGACAGTTTTGGGTAGTGTAATATTATTCCTCGTCCAAACATTTGAAGCTGATTTCCTCACATTTGATGTCACCTTATGAAATTTCTGCAAACCTACTCGGGGTCACTTCTTTGAACAAGTTGTTCACGCTGACAGCCACAAAGCTCAATTCAGCGAGTTATATGCGTTGCATTCTTCACATAACTACACACATTGCTTAATGCATGGGCCAACAGAGAACACCTACAGAACAAACTCAGCTAAAAATAGCCGCTCATTGCTAATAGTTATTTTGAGTGTTTTATTCTGTACTGCAGAGTGGGTGAAACAGCAATACTGTAAGTTATCGTCCAACACAAACCTAACTGGATGCTGCGACAACAAGAGAAGATTATCTGAAGATGAGACGCATCACCAAGCAACGCATAAGAGAGTGCTATGTACACAAAGCACAGACACCGTATTGCAGATATTTAACATGCTCATTTCCTGGGTCTTAAAAAAAAAAACAGAGCAATTATAAGCATCAGCCGCCCGCACGGTTACTCTGGTTACAAAAAGCTGAGCCCTTGAGGCATCAGCAGTGGCATGTTAGCTTTAGAGTACCATGAAAAGTTAAAGTGGTCTGAGGAATTAGCCAACAGGCTGGAATTGCAGGTAGCACATCAGCGCCCCATCTCACTCATTCATCATCTAGGAGCCTGTGATCCCCCTCAGGGGCAGTTCCCATGGTCTGCGCCAAGCTGAACATGCTCCTCAGCAGAGCTGAGGCATAAAAATAATAATAACACTCCAGGTGAGGCTGCAGATGCAGACACGCCAACTGCGCCTGACATAAAGGCTTACAATGCCCGCACACGTGCAGCCGGAGCAGTCGGCAGAGACACGCCGGCTGCGAAACACGACACGAGCTGTCGAGAGAAGCTTCTCAGAAAGCACTTCTTGAATTTTGCTTTAGAGGAACAAGACTGCACAAAAGATAAGTTGTGGCGAGGAGAGTGAAAGGACTTTGTTGCACAAACACTCGTGTTGATGCTATCACGGTTTAGTTCCCATTTTGAGTGAACGAGTTAAATCTGTGCTTTCTCTCACTGCAAAACATTTAAGAACATGGAGATAAATTGGGCTATTGCACAAGCATTACCTTGAAAATTATGCACAATTTAGCTAACCATTAAACATGAGGAACTATAGTTAGTTTGTTCTTACCACGTCTGACTTTTCATGTCGTTTTCATTTGATCTTCTTTCTTACAAAATGCAAAAAGGAAACGAAAACTTTTGCACACCAACATCTTTGAAACAAACACCAGGGTCCAACGAAAGATTTTCAGATGTTTAATGGATGTTGCACTGATATGTAACAAGTTAAAGAACACTGAATGCTTTTTTCCTAAAAGCTCGACGAGTCAGTTTTTGTGAATCTATTAAAAATAACTTACAGGCATGCCAGCTGCAGTAATGATCGTGTAAAAGGCTTCCAGGAGGACACATGCTTGTTACGTACAAAGAAAACAAAAGAAACCAAAATGTGTTTGATAGGTACAAAAGAAGTAAACAACATTTTTAATTCAAACACAAAATGGTATTAACACTTTCTATTTACAGTTTGTATTTACAACAATTTTACAGTGCTTGT